AATGATGATGTATCTGAATGATGATGTATCTGAATGATGATGTATCTGAATGATGATGTATCTGAATGATGATGTATCTGAATGATGATGTATGAATGATGAATGTATCTGAATGATGATGTATCTGAATGATGATGTATCTGAATGATAATGTATCTGAATGATAATGTATCTGAATGATAATGTATCTGAATGATGATGTATCTGAATGATGATGTATCTGAATGATGATGTATCTGAATGATAATGTATCTGAATGATGATGTATCTGAATGATGATGTATCTGAATGATAATGTATCTGAATGATGATGTATCTGAATGATGATGTATCTGAATGATAATGTATCTGAATGATGATGTATCTGAATGATAATGTATCTGAATGATAATGTATCTGAATGATATGTATCTGAATGATGATGTATCTGAATGATAATGTATCTGAATGATAATGTATCTGAATGATGATGTATCTGAATGAAGATGTATCTGAATGATGATGTATCTGAATGATGATGTATCTGAATGATGATGTATCTGAATGATGATGTATCTGAATGAAAGATGATGTATCTGAATGATGATCTGAATGATAATGTATCTGAATGAAGATGTATCTGAATGAAGATGTATCTGAATGATAATGTATCTGAATGATAATGTATCTGAATGATAATGTATCTGAATGATAATGTATCTGAATGAAGATGTATCTGAATGATAATGTATCTGAATGATAATGTATCTGAATGATGATGTATCTGAATGATGATGTATCTGAATGATGATGTATCTGAATGATAATATATCTGAATGATATCTGAATGATGATGTATCTGAATGATATGTATCTGAATGATGTATGTATCTGACAGTGAATGATATGTATCTGAATGATTAAAGACTTATATGAAAAATAATGTATTTCTCTTAATTTTGATGTATCTGAATGAATCACTGGCGGAAACATTACGTTGATATTTTTCGATGGATATGTCCTCGTGCCTTAACTATAATAGTTCAGGGCGAAAGGGTGCTTTATTACATTATACATAGTGGTAGAGCGAACTGTATTTCTTAAGTACCTGCTCTGTAAAATCTGGTAATAATTACCGTAATATATGAACATAGTTTATACAATTCAAAGCTACGTATAATGTCTATGCAAGAGAAATTTAATTATCTCCAAATGTTAGAATATCTTCGGACAATACAAGAATTACTTTTTGCACAGGCCATGATAGAGAAAAGGTGAATAACTTATACGTTATTAACATTGCAGATAAACATCATTAAAACAATGGATTCCCTGGGGAGAGATAGATCTTGATCTGCTCTGTGATATACAAAATCGAAAATCGTCTACCCGAGGTATTGCCACACGTGTTTGGTATCGTGGGTAATCCTGGAATTTCTAGTTTCCACGGTTACCATGCAGTGTCAGTTGATCCATAGAAATGCATCATATCCATTAGGCAACTACATATTTCTTTTCAGGAATGTCACAGGTGTTCATGTTGTCCTGCACTCAACGTCCTAAATGCAGAACTATAAAACTATTCAAGGTCAGTGTGACATATAACATTTTACAGCAAATATCAGTGTATGAAATAAGCCAAAAACCCAGCCAGACATCTGGGCTGGTAACTTCAAAAACTTACCAGCCCAGAAGAGATTTATCCAGTCCTTCTTAAACCCAAAATAGGCAGTGCCAGTGGACACGTAATCCGAATGTATTTTCACCCGTCCATCGGGCTGGCTAGCTGTAAAATTAGACCGTCCGGCAGTAATCTTGCCAATCTCGGGCGGTCGGACTGGCCTTATTTCATACACTGCAAACATGGACTTAAATTGAGTATTTTCTCACTTACATTGGTAAACTAACACAAGCATATGAATATGTTAGATTTCCAGCTGATTTTCAGTGATCATACAATTTTCACAGCTATTGTTTCTGTACTCCAAACAGAATTTGTTTCTGAGGCTAGTCAAGGCTGGGTATTGTTTTGCACTCACGTTCTTCTGTATAATATTGTAAACAAACTCTAATGTGTAAATATTTATTACCCTAAAAATTAATTTCTCTTGGTCAAAAGTCAAATCATACGAAAGCATGTATGCCGATTAGCTAGAGCGTAGCAGCGTACACCCCGTCAGATCTGTCACGTGACACTCTACAGGGATTGTACAAATGATCTTGACCTTAGATTAATGTGGCTGCCAAACAGCTGGTCGCAGACCTCAGAGTCTGTAATTCATTGCTTCAAATGTTGCCAGTATGATATCATACACTATGATCTGGTCACCTGGGCGTGGAGTAGCTTTTGGTAGATGCACTGCGCGCAGGGTTATCTCACTCCAGATATCTAGCAACAAGATCAGGACTAGAGCATAGACGTAGAGGGTAATGTCCCAGTAAGGGAAATGGAGAGTTACGAGGATATTACCCTACTTAAATTACATTCAAATTATTGGGAATATTTCTGCTATCAAACGTAAATGTTAAAATGACAAAATGAAGGCTTTAATTTGAAACTGGTACACATCGCTCCATTCCTGAAAAGTAATGTAGCGAGCAGACAATGGAATGACGTCACAAATGTAATTTATTATGGGTACTCGCTCTAGAACCACCTCGAAACTTTTTTTGTAGACCATTAGATAACTATGAGGCTAGGTTCAACTCCAACAGAATCAAAGGAATTGTTGTGCGGAACAGTTGCTCACGACATTATAAAGCAAGTTTTATGTTATACAAGTGTAACCAAGTAGGATGGAATTTGACTGAATATGTGACATTCTCGACATTCTTGTTAGAATGTGGATGGAAGACGACGTATTCCTGTCATTCCTCCTTGGAGGTATACCTGGACACTGTAAAGACGTATGAGATTGTAACATCTGGTCATTAGTTCCTCAGCGCTGTACAGTGGACATTATTATTTGTTTGACATGTATACCTACCTACCTACAACTAGTACCCATCCATGCATTCATCCATCATCCATCTATCTATGACATACAGACAACATTCTACACACAGGGACATATACAGACAACAGTGTACACACAAGGACATATACAGACAACAGTCCACACACAGGGACATATACAGACAACAGTCTACACACAAGGACATATACAGACAACAGTCTACACACAGGGACATATACAGACAACAGTCTACACACAGGACATATACAGACAACAGTCTACACACAAGGACATATACAGACAACAGTCTACACACAGGGACATATACAGACAACAGTCCACACACAGGACATATACATATAGAGTCACATTACTGGACATATACAGGTCTACACATGGATACGCTGGACAGTCTACACACAGGGACATTACAGACAACAGTCTACACACAGGGATTTACAGACAGCAGTCTGCTATAGGGATGTACCGACAACACTCCAACATTGTGGACACAGGCCACATTGTCTCCCAGGTTTCACATGGACACGCTGGACAATTCTCTATTAGCTAATTGTTTTGATGCTATACAGTTGTACATTACATTGTATTCAGGCAGTCTCTCTCCTATACGACAGACAAGCCTTGATAAGCTGTCCAAGTTGGGTTATCTGTGGTCTGGATCATTTATTCAAATTGGATCATTAGCTCAAATAAGACTAGGTTAAGAACGGAACCACGTGACTCCAATGTAACGTCAAAATTTTCACAGATTAAGTCCAATTAATCAATGTTCAGAAATGCGTGCAGATGTAGCCTCAAAATATATTTCCGCTGCCTATTAACACGGTAGGTCTGTTTCATGTCGCACTAAGTTGTGGCAGTCAGCGAATCGCTACGCCACTGCAGGCCAGCCCAAGCGGGCAATGTAAGAGCACCTCAATCTTGAGGTGTTGTCTCCTTTTAAGATTCACTGGCGTGTACAGATCTATAACGTCAGGTTTAGCTGATGCTGTACAGCGATCTTCTAAAAGAAAAACACATTACTCAATACATCGAATATTCTGCATAAAAAGATTGCCCATTAAGTCTAAACCAGTCATTATGGATCGGCCAGCGCGAAAAGTGACATCGAAATCAGTTGATTGGTCATCAGTGACACTAACACCCGTCCTTACAGCATCCATAGCATTTATGGTACATCTGATGTCTGTACAGGGGTGTTTGAACTCAGAAACGGTTCTGGTAAGGTTATTCTAAGGAAGGCTATATTACCTGTTCCGCTCTCCCAGGGTTTCACCATTCGGTTGATGCTGCAACACATCCACGTGGATCAGTATTGGACCACAAATCGCCCCCTTACATTCAATCTATTGTCTGTGAGATCAGAGACCATAAAATAACTCTCGGCCCGGATATTACGCAATATTGTTTACGTCGTTACCAGAGTGCTCATTTGCGAATGTCTGCGCATCTGTTGCGCATGTGTACCGGTAGAGGGAAGTTAGCATCAGGTTGTCGATGTGTATCGATTACATGCCCAGACCGTAGCGCAGATGGTTGGCGATAAACTGTTGGGGAGGGCCGTCCCTCTATTATATGGTCTTTGGTGATATATAGCCTCAGGCCATCTAGTCTGTCTCACAGTCCCTGAACCGCGTTATTTTCCCAACTGCCAAGCCCTCTCTGCAATGCTAAAGCCCTAAATAAAGCAAGTCTAGATTTCCTCAGGTTCAGGATCTCTGGTCTCCCTGGGACTCCTTTTCAATATAAATGGGCTTGTTTGTTATCAATATTTATATATATTCAGAGACTAAGCCTTAGTCTACAGGCCATCCAGTGGCCGTCTGTGCTCTACACAGCATGCATTTATATGACCCTCACTGAAGGCTGCAGCACTGCTCTCATTATGTGTTATTATCAATTCAAAGTTTGTGGTAGTTATAAGTATTTATAATCTCCATATTTCCGTTTGGAGACCTAACCGGTTTGCGGTAATGGCGGCTGCTTAGTAATCTGTTCCTCAGATTGGGGGGCTAAGATCCATTTATCTTTACTGCTACTCACGTGGGGGATATGTCGTCTTGCAGGCTTTGTGCACGTGGTCGCATCAACTCTGGTAGTCTCCACCGTTGACAACCACTACATCGCAGTGAATTGTTCCCTGACATCTACTGCAGATCATACGTTTCTCCGTCCAACTATCAGTTTCAGCTTAAATAGCCGACAGTCGTCAGGTCGCCATAGCAACGAGCAATCTTATAACATTGCCATTATCGATCTCTCGCGTTAACCTCGCCCAACACTCGCGCCCATCCGGGTTCTGAGATATTGTTTTGAGAGGCTTTAATCTCTCGACTGCCAGGGGTTCACTCTCACTTAGCCAGTCTACCCAAAATTGTCTTGTTAAGACAACATTGCACTATGGCTAGGTGAGAGATGAGAGCCAGGGCCTAGATTTTCGAAGCTCTCTTGGCACTAAGATAGTCGTAAGTTAATGTTAATGTATGGGACTATCTTATCGCTGAGAGAGCTTCGAAAATCTAGGCCCTGGTAATTACCAAGAACCACTAAAGCGTGAGGCTTTGTTCTAGGGCCATATAGTCTGTATCTACAATGCGACTCAATTGAAGATGTATGCGTGTGTTTGTAATACTAAAGCAAAAGAAACAACATTTCAGATAAATTAATTTAAAAACAAAAGAATAATACCGAGAAAGAATATTGAGAGCTATGTGAGAGACCTGTTTTGACAGAATCTGGCTAAGTGAGAGGACACCCTGACAGGACGCATTATAACGAGGTGTGTTCGGTTTAGATTTAAGGTTTGCTAAATAGAGTAAGATGCAAATGAGAGGGTCATGTGTCACAATGTCAAATTTACTTAAAAACTATTTTAGTATGAGTATATGATATTCAATTGGCTTCATTATTAAATCATCTATATATCCTTGTGCACACAGCACGTGCGCCATTACTTGCTGACGAAAGGTGTATGATACTATTACGCGGCCATCCCCCAAGAGGCCGCCGGGAGGTTTACTCAGGTCAAGGAGGTTCCAACTACATGTGGGTACTTTGTTTATAATCCAAACCCCCAGGGAAATCATCAAATGACTTTATGAGTAACTCACGCACTTAATCGGGTCAGGATGACATGCACTCTTGTCAACCTGTGGTGGATAATATGAACAACTGCCCAGCAGACTGGAGTCAATAAAATGTCAGGTGCTTTGTCCAACGTATCCACATAGATGACCCCTTATGGCCAACATTGGATAACAGGGGCGTATTCTGTGCCCAGAACTTCACACGTGACCAGCACGGGTAGGTAAAGAAGGTGTACTGTGGATTAGTAGTCTAAGGCGTTGCAAGTGTTATGTCCCTTAGTTGTGCCAGGATGCCCGAGTCACCTGTTCGCCCTGAGGTAGCAATGTACCTACATTTCACTCACTCACTCACTCACTCACTCACTCACTCACTCACTCACTCACTCACTCACTCACTCACTCACTCACTCACTCACTCACTCACTCACTCACTCACTCACTCACTCACTCACTCACTCACTCACTCTTTGACTTTCAATTACATGAACTACACGCAGCAAGGCAGTCAGCTGGACGAAATCGAGTGGTGACGAATGGATGGAGATGTGGAGAATGCGAGCAGAATATGGAAAGGCTAGCCTGAGTAACAGCTTGTCAGCGTCTCCCCTGTCGAAGAATTCCAAATGTGTTTTCATCTTCCGTCTCAACAATCCCCCGTGAATCAGCTGGCAACAGTCGACTGCGGTGTTACCTAACAAGAACTCACGCCACGCTATGAACTAGCACGGATTTTACAAACGCTTCAGGTAGAAAATTTCCTGTGATATAACTCGAGTTTAATTTCTCTGCTAATGTGCCTCTGTGTAGACTGTTGTCTGTATATGTCCCTGTGTGTAGACTGTTGTCTGTATATGTCCCTGTGTGTAGACTGTTGTCTATATATGTCCCTGTGTGTAGACTGTTGTCTGTATATGTCCCTGTGTGTAGACTGTTGTCTGTATATGTCCCTGTGTGTAGACTGTTGTCTGTATATGTCCCTGTGTGTAGACTGTTGTCTGTACATGTCCCTGTGTGTAGACTGTTGTCTGTATATGTCCCTGTGTGTAGACTGTTGTCTGTATATGTCCCCTGTTTGTAGACTGTTGTGTGTGTAGACTCTATATGTCCTAATGTGTGTAGACTGTTGTCTGTATATGTCCCTGTGTGTAGACTGTTGTCTGTATATGTCCCTGTGTGTAGGCTGTTGTCTGTATATGTCCCTGTGTGTGACTGTTGTCTGTACATGTCCTGTATATGTCTGTATATGTCCCTGTGTGTAGACTGTTGTCTGTATATGTCCCTAATGTGTAGACTGTTGTCTGTAGACTGTTGTCTGTATATGTCCCTGTGTGTAGACTGTTGTCTGTATATGTCCCTGTGTGTAGACTGTTGTCTGTATATGTCCCTGTGTGTGGACTGTTGTCTGTCCCTGTGTGTAGACTGTTGTCTGTATATGTCCCTGTGTGTGTGACTGTTGTCTGTATATGTCCCTGTGTGTAGACTGTTGTCTGTATATGTCCCCTGTGTGTAGACTGTTGTCTGTATGTCCCTGTGTGTAGACTGTTGTCTGTATATGTCCCTGTGTGTAGACTGTTGTCTGTATATGTCCCTGTGTGGACTGTTGTCTGTATATGTCCTAATGTGTGGACTGTTGTCTGTATATGTCCCCTGTGTGTAGACTGTTGTCTGTATATGTCCCTGTGTGTAGACTGTTGTCTGTACATGTCCCTGTGTGTAGACTGTTGTCTGTATATGTCCTGTGTGTAGACTGTTGTCTGTATATGTCCCTGTGTGTAGACTGTTGTCTGTACATGTCCCTGTGTGTAGACTGTTGTCTGTATATGTCCTGTGTGTGGACTGTTGTCTGTACATGTCCCTGTGTGTAGACTGTTGTCTGTACATGTTCCTGTGTGTAGACTGTTGTCTGTATATGTCCCTGTGTGTAGACTGTTGTCTGTATATGTCCCTGTGTGTAGACTGTTGTCTGTATATGTCCCTGTGTGTAGACTGTTGTCTGTATATGTCCCTGTGTGTAGACTGTTGTCTGTATATGTCCCTGTGTGTAGACTGTTGTCTGTACATGTCCCTGTATATGGACTGTTGTCTGTGTAGTCCCTGTGTGACTGTTGTCTGTATATGTCCCTGTGTGTGGACTGTTGTCTGTATATGTCCCTGTGTGTGGACTGTTGTCTGTATATGTCCCTGTGTGTAGACTGTTGTCTCTATATGTCCCTGTGTGTAGACTGTTGTCTGTACATGTCCCTGTGTGTAGACTGTTATCTGTACATGTCCCTGTGTGTAGACTGTTGTCTGTATGTGTCCCTGTGTGTGGACTGTTGTCTGTATATGTCCCTGTGTGTAGACTGTTATCTGTACATGTCCCTGTGTGTAGACTGTTGTCTGTATATGTCCCTGTGTGTGGACTGTTGTCTGTATGTGTCCCTGTGTGTGGTACTGTTGTCTGTCTGTCCCTATGGATATGTATGTCCCCTGTGTGTCAGACTGTTGTCTGTACATGTCCCTGTGTGTAGACTGTTGTCTGTATATATGTCCTGTGTGTAGACTGTTGTCTGTATGTGTCCCTGTGTGTAGACTGTTGTCTGTATATGTCCCTTAAATAAAAAGTAGACTGTTATCTGTAAATGTCCCTAGTTGTTTAAATAAACATTGTTGTTAAAACTGATTTATAAATGTTTGGTGTAGGGTGTTGTCTGTATATGTCCCTGTGTATAGGTTGTTGTCCCTGTGCATGTCCCTGAATTATGCCCCTTTGTGGAATATTCACATCACTAAGGAAGTGAGGTGGTTCATTCTGGCCTCAATTTCATATTGTGTGTAATGTGACCAGAGATTAAGCCTCTGATTGGGTACAAGTTTTTAGGCATATTAAATACACTGAGTGTCCAAGCACATGGCACTTAGTATCCAGCATTGCACAGCACAGCAGCAGCACTGTTACTTGCCACAGAAGGTTAGTTGAATACTTGTTTTGTTTTAACACATTAACTTTAGAGGTTGTCAGTTATATTATGCTTGAGTAAAACTTTTAAAATATTACAAATAAATAATTAGCAAATTATTTCTAGTATAACATGTAATTGTAGTGTGCACTTTTGTATGCCTTGGCAATTTTTGTGAACTTAGCAAATGTTGCAGGTGCCAAAACGGGTAGAATAGTAAACTCCATTCCATTCCATAGATGGGTAAGGTGTATTTTCCTTAGTACATTGTGTGTGAATGTTTGGAATGTTTGGAAACGTGGTGCGTGTGTATTTGTGTAACATGACGATTTTAATTCTAATTAATGCAACCAATGAAATGTTACCCTATTGGTGATATACAATATTCTTATAGAATGATTGTTTGCTGTCCATTGAATTATTGTTAAATGTTTCAGGGTGATGTTTTGTGGATTTAACTACCTCACGGAGAATAAAATGTCCTCCCTATATACCAGCGACTTTATTGTTTTGAAGACCTGGTCACATTTGGAGCCCCCAGTGAGGATCCCAATCTCCAGAGTCGTCCACAGAGGGATTTGGGAAGTTGGCCATGTGGTAGGACTGATATCAAGTTGTGCTTCACATTGTTTGTGATATTCAGATGCTGTGTGTGTCTTCAATTTGCATTGACACTGCTGACTAATTACAATGCAGTGATAGAGACTGGATACTTAAGGTTTTATTTTGAAACCTGATTGTGATTATGTTGATTGGTGATATTGGGTGATTTGTGATATCTTGAATGTACTTTTAAATGTATTGTGAATCCAATTTGATTTTTATCATGGAATGAATTGTGAGATGTGATATTGCCATCTGTGATTAGGGAGAGGACATAGGTTGCAACATATTCTTAATCATGTTTTTGTTGTGTGAAAGGAGAAAAGGATTGGTTGATTGTCTGCGTGTTTGGTGGATTGTTAGTAGTGGGTTTCTAAGATACATTAGTAACTAACATATATACTAGCTCAGCTGAACAATATTAAAATTTATTACTATATAATTCAGCCAATTTAAATTTCATTTGAGCACTACACCCTGCACAACTAAGACCACTTATGTGTCAGTGATTGTTTACTTTTTATGTTTAGGGGTCCCATGTGTTTTATTTTGTACTGTGGCAGAATGGTAAAT